TATATATAAATGTGTATGTGTATGTGTGTATGTGTGTATATTATGTGTGTATATTATGTGTGTATATATGTGTGTGTATGTGTGTGTGTGTGTTTATGTGTATATGTGTGAGTATATATGTGCGCATGTGTGTATATTACATTATATCTCGTGTGTATATCCAACAGCACAACTCTATATAGATCTAGGCTAGGCGTGTGACGTGTGACTAAAACGCGCTGTTTCGATCGTAAACCTCGAAGCAACAGATAAGTGACACTGCGAGCTAGAGTTTAGCTGAGGCAAATCCCACGATCTTTCGGTCTTTCGGACGTGGACCGATCACTGTGAAGGCGTTTCGTGTCCTAGTTTTCAATTTAAACAATATTGAGACTAGGAACATCGCGGTAAAGTTACATCTTTCAATCCAACTTTATTTTATCTTGTCTTAGCGTTATCTTCAAAGAAGATTGTATAACCTAAATGTTGCAGCAGCGAGACAAGGTGTTGCAGTACTCTTGCATAGTAGATTTTTTGTAGTCTGGAAATTGGGCCGGTGCGTGTGTGTATAAAGGGTTCTTATTTCACTGCCTGGAAGAGAGGACTCGGAAGCGAAGTGCCATTCCAAACTTTGTGTAGACAGTGCAAAGGCTGAAACAGAACACAGTGCATGAAACCTAATCTTTGGTGAAGCCTTCTGAAAAGGTCTGCTTGCTGCAAGCGGCACAAAAATGGTGTACCGTGAGTATGCTTTTGGCTGTTTTCATGACTTATTTTTAATTCTTTAAAAAAATATTTTTTTAAAAACTTTTATTCTTGACGCTCCCTCTCTAATCTCGTCTCTTCTTTTCTCTTCTTTTCTTTTCTCTTCCTTTCTTTTCTTTTTTTCTCTTTTCTTCTTTTCTCTTCCCTTTTCTTTTCCTCTATCTGTCTTCCCTTCTCTTCTCTCTTTTAACTTTCTCCCTCTCTCTTCTGCCCTACCCCTTTTCTCTATCTCTCCACCCCTCCCTCTTTCTCTCTCTCTCTCTCTTTCTCTCTCTCTCTCTCTCTTTCTCTCTCTCTCTCTCTCTCT